TTCTCTTGTTATTTATGTCATAACAATGCACATTTCAATTACATTTATCTATCCCAAGTGACCCACCTTTCAAAAGGTACAGTAAGGATATATTCTGCATAAGTTTTCTAATTAATTTATTAAAAACAGGGACGTAAACCAAAATAAAAAAAAAACAGGGAAGGTCTGCTCACAGGCACCTTAAATTCCACGCATCACACTGTAATCACAAATTCATGTATCTCATGATATATATATTTGAATAGTGTGCTGTAGCTATGGCATTTCCGAAAAATCCTTAGAATAACTGGAGCCTATACAAGACAATGAACATTGCTAACCTTTTAAGGTTAAATTACCTTCTTCTGAGACGAGGTGCTATTCTCACTTTTAAAAGGGTACAGTACAATGCAATTGGTTTATTTAGGACAGAATACTTTCATGTAGTTAAAATTTAAAATTTTAGTCCTCATTTGGTGGCATCTATGAACAACAACAATAAAGTTGCATTCATTATTAATGAAAGATCTGTCTGTGTGGAGTTTGTATGCTCCTCCATGGTGGGTGTGGCTTTTGCTGGGTGTGCTAGTTTCCTCCCAGCTCTGATGTCTGTGACTGAGCCAGCAGTGGACTGGTGTGCTGTCCGGGAAGAGAGCTGTCAATTGCCTTCAATTGGGAGTGTGGAACGTGCTGGCCAGTCCACTGGTGTCCTGAGCTTGCAGGAGCTTCCAGGAGAAAGGCCTCTGGCTTGCTGTACCCCTCACCCCTCAGTCACATTCTCAACCATACAACATAATAACAATGGCAAATTAAATAAAAAACGCAGGTTATGTTAAAATAACACAAGGCACAAGCAAGGCCTCATTTGGAATATTGTGTACAATTTTGGTCACCATGTTAAAAAAAAAAGATATTGCTGCTCTGGAATCGGTCCAGAGAAGAACAAGTAAGCCTGGGGAAATGTCCTACACTGAAGCAGCTGATCCGTTTCAATCTTGAACAGAGAAGATTACAAGAGGACCTGATACAAGTATTGAGTATTGAGTGTCCTGAAGAGCACTGATAAAGTCAATCTATCAGATTTCCTCAAACTGAAGAGTGAAGCACAAACCAGGGGGCACAAGTGGAAACTACAGAGATTTTTATTTAAAACTGAGAACGGGACATGCTTCTTTACACAAAGGGTAGTGGGAGTGTGGAACACTGCAGCCAGCCATGTTGTTCAAGCCAATACTCTATATGTGTTGAATGGCCTCCTTTTGTATGTAACCTTTCTTTACATTCTTAATAGATACTAATACATATAATGTCCAATTAAAGGTTCATTTCACATTGAAAAATAGAAAGAAGAAGCTGGGCATTTCAGCTAGTGAGCCATATTCAGGTGTGATAGAATAAATATACTGTAAGAGCATATATAATAGAACAGGAGAACAGAGAACCAGGGACAGAGTAAGTCAGAATGGGCACACAAGAGAGAAAGAGTGAGCACAGGTAGAGAATCAGGGGACAGGTGTGAAAAGCTAATACTGTATATGCTGAATATAATTTACAGTACAACATATAGCTTTAATATAAGTATTAAAACTATAAATGATTTAATACTTTACAGTACAGCATATAGGTTTAATTTAGGTATTAGAACTATTACTGATTCAATACAAAATCCATATCATAAAGCTAGACAACAGTGCCTAGCTTTTTCAGTGTCATGTGTCTTGCAAAACGTTTTACCCAGGACACTACAATGAACTCAAGTACGTAATGTAACATGGACTTGGGGTCACTAGTGAATGTTAAGAGCAGATGCATTTACAATCGAAAATAGAAGGTGGTTCTTTGAGTGAAAGTGGGTGTCTGGGAAAAACCTTCCCAGATGTATTTTAGAGGCAGACTATCTGGGACTTTCAGACTATGAATACATGAGGTTCTGGACAAAAAGGCTAAAAAGTCCAAACAATGAGATGGGTGAAATAGCATCCTTAGATATAATTGTAATAATTAAAAATATAATGCAATGGTTCACAATTTAGAAGAAGAAAAAAATCTAAATAACTCAGTTTATTAGGATCAAAGCCTGAAATCTAGAGTTTCAGATATGGCAGTAGTTTGACCATATGGATATATTATGGAATGCAAAATGTTAGATTTCCCTATGTGAATACCATTATCATCACAGGGTGTTTCCATGTCAAGTGTTCAATAACCAGAATTAACATTCTGAAGGCAGCCTTGAAAATATAATCAGCGCCTACTGAGTAATCAGATCAGTTTGTGCTCAATTTTATTTAAAATTGTTGAGTTGGTAAGGCAGATAGCAGTGCTTCTTCATAGCTCCTGCGTGATCATGGGTTTGAATGTGGATTGGGGATAGCTTCTGTAAGGAGTTAGCAAGTTTATTTATTTTCTGCAAGTGCTTATTTTGAACTTGAACTTTGAACTTGTTTGCCATATGTAACCGGTACATGCACTGGTACAATGGAATTCTTACTTACAGAAAGTATCTTGATTGTTAAAAAAAGGTGTAAAAAAGTGCAGACAGTGCATCAAGACAATATACAAACAGTAGACAATGTACAAGTAAACAAGTAAACAGTTCGAAT